CATCTCACACAGTATCATCACCAGGCACATCTCACACAGTATCATCACCAGGCACATCTCACACAGTATCATCACCAGGCACATCTCACACAATATCATCACCAGGCACATCTCACACAGTATCATCACCAGGCACATGTCACACAGTATCATCATCTCACACAGTATCATCACACATCTCACACAGTACCATCACCGGACACATCTCATACAGTATCATCACCAGGCACATCTAACACAGTACCATCACCAGGCACATCTTACACAGTATCATCACCAGGCACATGTCACACAGTATCATCATCAGGTACAACCCACACAGTATCATCACCCAGTATCATCACACAGTACCACATCTCACATCACACAGTATCATCACCAGGCAGATGTCACACAGTATCATTACCAGGCACATATTACACAGTATCATCACCAGGTACAACCCACACAGTATCATCACCAGGCACAGGTCACACAGTACCATCACCGGACACATGTCACAGAGTATCATCACTAGGGACATTTCACACAGTATCATCATCAGGCACATCTCACACAGTATCATCACCAGGCATCCCTCACACAGTATCATTACCAGGCAACCCTCACACAGTATCATCACCAGGCAGATGTCACACAGTATCCTCACACAGTATCATCACCAGGCACATGTCACACAGTATCATCACCAGGCACATCTCACACAGTATCATCACCATCTCACACATCACAGGCACATCTCACACAGTATCATCACCAGGCACATATCACACAGTATCATCAAATTACACATCTCGCACAGTATCATCACCATTCACATCAGATACACAGTATCATCACCAGGAATCCCTCACACAGTATCGTCACCGGGCATCCCTCACACAGTATCATCACAAGGCACATTTCACACAGTATCATCACCAGGCACCTCTCACACGGTACCATCACCGGAAACATCTCACACAGTATCATCACCAGGCACATGTCACACAGTACCATCACCAGGCACCTCTCACATAGTATCATCACCAGGCACTGGTCACATAGTATCATCACCAGGCAAATGTCACACAGTATCATCATCAGGCACATCTCACACAGTATCATCATCAGGCACATCTCACACAGTATCATCACCAGGTCACACATCATCATCTCACAGAGTATCATCACCAAGCACATCATACAGTATCATCACCAGGTACATCTCACACAATATCATCATCAAACACATCTCACACAGTATCATCACCAGTAACATTTCACAAAGTATCATCACCAGGTACATCTCACACGGTATCATCACTAGGAACAAATCACACTGTATAATCACCATGCACATCTCACACTTTAGCGCCAGACACATCTCACACAGTATCATCAACAGACACATCTCATACAGTATTATCACCAAGCACATATCACATATTATCATCACACATCACACAGTACCATCACATCTCGCACAGTGTCATCACCAGGCACATCCCAAACAGTATCATCACCAGGCATACGTCACACAGTATCATCACCATTCACATCTCATACAGTATCATCACCAGGCTGATCTCACACATTATCATCACCATGCACATCTCATACAATATCATAACCAGGCACATCTCACACAGTAGTGTCATCATCAGGCACATTTCAAACAGTATCAACATCAGTCTAATCTCACACAGTATCATTACAAGGCACATCTCACACAGTATCATTACCAGGCACATCTCACACAGTATCCTTACAAGACACATCACACACATTATCATCACCAGGCACCTCTCACACAGTATCATCAACCGGCACATCCCACATAGTATTATCACCAAGCACATCTCACATAGTATCATCACCAGGTACAGGTCACACAGTATCATCACCAGGCACATCTCACACAGCACCATTACCGGACACATCTCACACAGTATCATCACCAGGCATATCTCACACAGTATCATCACCAGGCACATCTCACACAGTATCATCACCAGGCACATCTCACACAGTATCATCACCAGGCACATCTCACACAGTATCATCACCAGGCACATCTCACACAGTATCATCACCAGGCACATCTCACACAGTATCATCACCAGGCACATCTCACACAGTATCATCACCAGGCACATCTCACACAGTATCATCACCAGGCACATCTCACAGAGTATCATCACCAGGCACATCTCACACAGTATCATCACCAGGCACATGTCACACAGTATCATCATCACCGGGCACCTTTCACACAGTATCATCACCAGGCAGATGTTACACAGTATCATCACCAGGTACATGTCACACAGTATCATCACCAGGCACCTTTCACACAGTACCATCACCGGACACATCTCACACAGTATCATCACCACACATCTCACACAGTATCATCACCAGGCACATCTCACACAGTATCTTCACCATTCACATCTCATACAGTATCATCACCATTTACATCTCATACAGTATTATCACCAGGCACATCTCACACACATCTCACACAGTATCATCACAAGGCACATTTCACACAGTATCATCACCAGGCACCTCTCACACGGTACCATCATCGGAAACATCTCACACAGTATCATCACCAGGCACATGTCACACAGTATCATCATCAGGCACATCTCACACAGTACCATCACCAGGCACCTCTCACATAGTATCATTAACCGGCACATCCCACATAGTATTATCAAGAGGCACATCTCACACAGTATCATCACCATTCACACAGTATCATCACCAGGCACATGTCACACAGTATAATCATCAGGAAAAACACACACAGAACCAACAACAGACACATCACACACAGTATCATCACCAGGCACATCTCACACAGTATCATCACCAGGCACATCTCACACAGTATCATCACCAGGCACATCTCACACAGTATCATCACCAGGCACATCTCACACAGTATCATCACACAGGTCATATCATCACAGTATCATCACCAGGCACACAGTATCATCACCAGGCACATGTCACACAGTATCATCACCAGGCACATCTCACACAGTATCATCACCAGGCACATCTCACACAGTATCATCACCAGGCACATCTCACACAGTATCATCACCAGGCACATCTCACACAGTATCATCACCAGGCACACCAGTATCATATCATCACCAGGCACATCATCACACAGTATCATCACCAGGCACATCTCACACAGTATCATCACCAGGCAGATGTCACACAGTATCATCACCAGGCAGATGTCACACAATATCATCACCAGGCACATCTCACACAGTATCATCACCATTCACATCTCACACAGTGTCATCACCATTCACCTTTCACACAATATTATTACCAGGCACATCTCACAAAGTCACCAGGCACATCTCACACAGTACCATCACCAGGCACATCTCACACAGTATCATCACCAGACACATCTCACACAGTATCATCACCAGACACATCTCATACAGTATCATCACCAGGCATCCCTCACACAGTATCATCACCAGGCCTCACTCACACATTATCATCATCAGGCACATCTCACACAGTATCATCACCAGGCACCTCTCACACAGTATCATCACCAGGCACATGTCACACAGTATCATCATCAGGCAAATCTCACACAGTACCATCACCAGGCACCTCTCACACAGTACCATCACCAGGCACATCTCACAAAGTATCATCACCAGGCACATGTGACCCAGTATCATCAGCAGGCACATCTCACACAGTATCATCACCAGGCACATCTCACATGGTATCATCAACAGGCCCGTCTCACACGGTATCATCACCAGCCACGTCCCACACAGTATCATCACCAGGCACATCTCACACAGTACCATCACCAGGCACATCTCGTTCAATATCATGCCCAGGCACATCTCACACAGTATCATCACCAGGCACACATATCACACAGTCTCATCATCAGGCACATCTTACATAGAATTCTTACCAAGCACATTTTACACGGTATAATCACCATGCACATCTCACACAGTATCATCACCAGGACACATCTCACACACACTCACACAGTATCATCACCAGGCATCCCTCACACAGTATCATTACCAGGCAACCCTCACACAGTATCATCACCAGGCAGATGTCACACAGTATCATCACCAGGCACATATCACATAGTATCATTACCAGGCACATCTCACAAAGAATCATCAGTATACACATCTCACAGAGTATTATCACCAGGTAAATGACATTCGCTATCACAAGTAGACGGAGCTTACACATTATCACCACTCTTCTCAGCTTAGGACCGGCTCATTCAGTAATAAAAAAGTGATCAGGTTACAACCTACAGAGTATCTCCACCAGTCAAGCTCATACCGTATCATCACAAGGTACAACACATATATATCTCCACCGGGAGCAATATCACCGTGTCTGACGTCTGTATATTCTTGTAGGCACGAAGCACGTGATATGATGCATATGGTAAATGGAATGTAGGAATGGTAACTATAGTATTATTAGGCTGTTATTCGTTACTTAAAATGCTATCGACAATCTCAGGCATGCCTCAGATGTAATTGTATTGTTATTGTCGTCGAAAACATTTTAATAGTGATGATTATAAGTATCATGATATTACCAACTTACATAACCATTACAGATAAGATGATTAATGGAGGAAATGATGACAAGCTAACCAGTTTCCGATTTCCCCTTATCATATGAATTTGGTGACGTCATCCCGGTTGTGTAAAATATATCTTATTCAATAATATATAATTTCTTTCCGATATTTTTTTTTCATTTGAATTTTTTTAAAGTCAAAATACATTACTTCGAAAAACGAATAACTGTCCAAATCCAATTTGTCCGGAAATGTAAATTTTGGTAGTTATATGGTATAAATTATTGTGCTTAAAAACTGGAAAGTATTTTGATATTGATTGATTTCTATTTTATTTCTTTATTATGTAGATCATATGTTTATTTTTGGAGTAAAATAACACATTTAATTTTAGATATCTTCACTGCACAAGGTCTGTGATTTATTTTCGGGAGTTTGACTACGTCATCAACGACCCCCAGTGGCTTGCCGATTTCTTCAGTATCCTGATTACCGATGACCAGTTTCTCCCAAAAGACGACCTTTCAATGATCAAGCACCAGGAGCAGTACCAAACAAAGGGCGAGTTGACACAGGAACTGATTAACGGTCTCTTACGTCTGGAGAAGAATAAAGCTTTCCTTCCACATAAATCCATTCTTTTGGCGCTGATGGAAAAATTTGGGTTGATAGTGAAAATGCTGATCTCAGGACCCGAAACTGAACATCCACAGTTCAGTGAGACGTTCACCATTCCAAGTAAACTGGTGGAGCTTCAAGACATCGACGTAATAACCAGAGAAATCACCAGCCTGAAGAGTAGATCGCTTGGTGTTTCTAAAGCATTATGCTTCGTATTCAACGATGTTTATGTTCCTGATGAGTTGTTTCATAGAATCTTTGCCCACATCCTGAGGACGTACAAGCCGACATCATTGTCAACAAGAAGCCTCCAAACAACAACTGAAATAGACCAGACGGGGTCGAGCAGTGGTAACGTTTGTCTTTATAGAGGTTTTGGATGTTTCGAGATCAACGACCTCTGTAGAATGATCCTATCCATGCAGCCTGAGAGGTCCACTATTGTCGTGACTGTATTCAGTCCAACGGAAACGCATCTTCCCGCAGATTGTGGAAAAGACGTCAGGCTCTCAATCGAAGGGATTATTCGTGACGCATTGGAAATGAGTGACCAGCAGCACTTTCAACATACACACAAACTACACTGTAGTTTTTCCCTGAATCCATACGACACCCCTGTAGACCTGTACGGCATCAACCGCTCAGAGAAGGGTGTGCCTTGTAAAGGGGGGGATTGTCACGGACAACACCTACTGGTTAAAACGGACACAGCGTTTTGGCACATTACAGAGGTAAATCAAATGTTTTTTCTTCTCCTGACACTATATAACCAGGTATATTAATTCCTTGTCGGCCCGACTGACTGGCTGGCTGGTTGGCTGGCTAGCTGGCTGGCTGAATGACTGACTGGCTGACTGGCTTGTTGACTGTTTCTCTGTTCGATCCACCTGACGTTTTCTATTACATCTGGCCTCCCCACTTCCGAGGAATATTTTCGTAAATATAAAATATATTCTTAACTGCTGCGTTTGCAATTTCTATGTAATACCTTAGAGATTAGTCTTGTCAGAGCTCCAGAAAATTTGGCATAAAAAATTGTGTAGTTCTATGGTGGCAATTTGTGTATTCTTAACCCTAACCTTACTAGAAACCAAAAATCGGTCATATACTTAAAACTTTCTTTGAATCGCTAACATTGAATTTTCCATTATAATGTGCGCATATGCGTTCAAATGTTATATCATTATCTATCATTACCTTAGGCTTTATTCACTGATACCTCTAATAATGACTCATCCTTTAGAAAATATGTATGTTTCATCAATTTCCGAACGATATACACAGATTTGAACTTTCCCACGTAGTATCGTAAGAGTCGCTCCGCTCTGAGGTATTGTTTATACCAATTGCAATGTATTCCCACCTTTAGGTGCAAAAATATTCTACTTTCTGGCAAATTAAAAAAAATGAGATGTCTACATATTTACAGCGTGATCCAATAATTGTTCAATTATTACAAAAGACTTTCGATATTCTTCTTGAATTTTATCACCCAAAAAGCATCTAATCAATCTAATGATGCTCAGATCGTTTGCTAAGAGCGCATTTTAATATAAATTTCGAATAAGATAAAGCCAAGAGCTGGATTAAAATGCATCATACGGCTGTTTCGGTCTTGCATTTAATAAACATCCTGTCCAGGAAGTTGGTTTTCCAAGATTTTGATAAAGGGCAGGAAATAATACTTAACGCTCCTAGAAAAAGGTTTCCATGTGACTCCGTATTTTCTCGGTAGCTTTCTATGTTTCCCAATTCAGATTTTAGTCACTGAAGGAGTCAATAACAAGAATATTGGAATATCTTTTGTCAAAAGTTCGAACATAAGAGATCGCAAGTGCTCATTATTATTTCGGGTTCCACTCTGTGATTTTAATGACGAATGCATCTATATTATCTAGTGTCATTTCTGTCGATATGTCATTTCCACACGACGTCTTCTTTAAATGTGTTAGCCGTATTTTAATAAAATATCAAAATAAGATTTTGTGTATGTTTAAGATTAAATGGTAGTTTCAATCCCGTGTATTTTTGTCATACTCCTACTTGTGACTTCGTGGGTTTCAGTACAGGTTTAATTTCTATTTTTAAGTTGTTCTGTCAAAGCGCTGTACCTAAATTTGT